TTGTTGTTCAACGACCACTCGCTTCGATTGAGTATCTGAAAAAATCCTGAAAGCTCCCAGAAATTGCCTGTTAAAGTGAGGTTTTCCTCGTTTGAAGCCACAGATTTTCTCTTTCGAGCGATGTTATGGACCGGTTTCACGAATTTTTGGTTTTTCCATGGCAAATTTTTGAAAAATCCGTGTTGTTCAAAAACCAATCGCTTCGATTTAGTGTCTGAAAAATCCTCAAAACTACCATAAATTTCCTAGCAAAGTGAGATTTTCCTCGTTTAAAGTCGCAGATTTGTTCTTTCGACTGATGTTATAGACCGCATTCAGCAATTTTTGGTTTTTCCTTGGGGAATTTTTGAAAAATCCTTGTTGTTCAACGGTCAATCGCTTCGATTGAGTATCTGAAAAAATCCTGAAACTGCCAGAAGTTTCCTATTAAAGTGAGGTTTTCCTCGTTTAAAGCCACAAATTTTCTCTTTCGAACGATGTTATGGACCGCATTCAGGAATTTTTGGTTTTTCCTTGGGGAATTTTTGACAAATCCTTGTTGTTCAACGACCAATCGCTTCGACTGAGCATCTGAAAAAATCCTAAAAACTTCCCTAAAAATTTTGTTTTTAATTGATGTTTTCCTCAGTTAAAGCCGCAGATTTTCTCTTTCGAAACGTCTTATCAGTCCGCATTGAGGAATTTTCAGTTTTTCCTTCACAATTTTTTGAAAAACTGGAGAGCTGAGGCCATTTCGGCCATGGAAGACATCGATAGTTTGAATGCTTGTAAAAAATCAACCGTTTTGCGGATTTAAGTGAAACTTTGCAGAGTTTTAGCCCCACATTCTGGCTCTGCGTGCTGATAATTTCAGAAGTCCAGTAGCTTTGCGGTTGGGGCAATAATTTTTTTCAGGCCAAGTCAAGGTGCTCACTTTTCGGATACTTGTTTCTCTGTGTGTTTTATCCATAGAAAAATTCGCACTAGCAACACTTTGAACTTAGCAGACATTTTCCCATACTCGAGCCGTGCTGTCGCCCTGGAAACTTTTCCAGTAAAAGCGAAAATTTTCACTAAAATATTGTGGCTGTTCAAATGCGTCCAACACTAATTATTTTCGAAAGCCTTCCCGAATTGTCACTTCTAAATCACCAGCAGCTCGGTCCCATTGTTCCCTAATATTATGGGTATTTAGTCGGCGAAATATGAAATAGGGCCGCGTTGCTGGATACTTATATTTAATAATTGCTAAAAGCCAATTATACTGTTAAATTAAATTATCTGGTGTTCCGACAATGTTGGGCGCTGATTAATGGTGTTTTTCTTTTTAAATTGGGCATGGCCGGGAAAAAAAGGGCTTAGGCGGCACATCCATTTGATTTATATGTCTTGGCGTTTGGGCCCTTTTAATACCACCATTTAAAATATAACGATCATAAAACTCGAGTAAGAATCGGCTTTGACTTTTATTGTCTCTAAAACAACGTTTAATAATCGCCAAGCAACATTCAAGCTTTTAATGGATGCACTCATTCCTCAAAGCCAAGAATTTTGTTGTAGTTTTATCCGTGTCGTGCCCTGACGATGTTGCTATTTATTCGATAAATTAAATTGCGTTTTTAGGCAATTACATCCATAGCAGGCCATATTTGTTAGTGGCGATAGCCAGTAGTTGCTATCAATATCTGCACTATTATATGGTTTATAATGATGATTTATTTACTAATTAAACTAGGACCAGCCTATTTATTTCCCTTATCGTGTACGGGTCTATAAATGTTTAAAATTATGCGGACTCATTTGGATGTTTAATTAACCAACCTTATCGAAATTGATCATTTTTTCCATTATCTCAAATCTGGAAGCGCACGTTTCAAATACCCCAAAAAGAGCTGTTTAGTAGATTAAATAGTGCGGAATAAATGGGAAAATTCCTCAATGGCGGTAACAACATGCGCCCATACTTGTTCCCCAAACAATCTGAGGCTGTCGCTTGGCTTAAAAGTTTTATAATATGAAATTTTCAATTATTCAAAATATTTCATATTCGACTTTAAAGGTCCTACTTGCAGTTGAGTGAAACGCGATGAATTCGCCGAAGGTAATTAAAATGACTTAATATAGTCTACAAACTGAAATTTGTTTTAATCAATGAAGCAATTTGATCAAGTTTATTAAAAATCATCCGGAAAATATTCGTTTGCTCCGCATTTTTAGGTAGCAATTGATTAAAACCCATATCGAAGAGAGAACAGCAAATATTTAGATTTTAGTCATGTTTAAATGTCGACTTTAATATTAATAGGAAAAAGTCGAATGTATGTGAAGCGTGGACGCAGACTTTTCACGCAAAGTTTTTGATTTTAAAAATTGCCCAATTTTGGCATCTCAATTTTAGAGAAGTAACTTCTCAAAAACATTTTTGGAACAAAATTTTTGGAATAACGCAATTTTTGCATCTGAATGTTAGAAAAATCATTTCTCCAAAGCAGGAACAGATTTGACTCCACTTTCTTCAATGTAGATTGAAAGAAGCATCGCTCTTATTCTCGTGGACTTTTGAGCTAAATCGATCATATATTTTCCTTGTCAAAAAATCGTAAACTTTGCCCACTTTTTTAAAATATCCCAATTTTTGCGTCTGAATGTTAGAAAAATCATTTCTCAAAAGCAGGAACAGATTTAACTCTACTTTCTTCAGTGTCGATTGAAGGAAGCATCGCTCTTATTCTCGTCGACTTTTGAGCTAAATCGATAGTATATTTTCCTTGTCAAAAAATCGTAAACTTTGGTCACTTTTTTTAAATAACCCAATTTCTGCATCTGAATGTTAGAAAAATAATTTCTCAAAACAAGAACATATTTGACTCCGCTTTCTTCAGTATCGTTTAAAGGAAGCATTGCTCTTATTCCTTTGGAGTTTTCAGCTGAATCGATGGGATACTTCCTATGTCAAGAAATCGTAAACTTTGACCACTTTTTTGAAATAACCTAATTTCTGCATCTGAATGTTAGAAAATTCATTTCTCCAAAGCAGAAACAGGTTTGACTTCACTTTCTTCAGTGTAGATTGAAAGAAGCATCGCTCTTATTCTCGTCGACTTTTGAGCTAAATCGATAATATAGTTTCCTTGTCAAAAAATCGTAAACTTAGGCCACTTTTTTGAAATAACCCAATTTTTGCATCCCAATTTTAGAGAAGTAATTTCTCAAAAACGCAAACAGATCTCACTCCACTTTCTTCAGTATCGTTTAAAGAAAGCATTGCTTTTATTCTTTTGGAGTGTTGAGCTGAATCGATGGCATACTTTCTATGTCAATAAATTGTAAACTTTGGCCACTTTTTTGAAATAACCCAATTTTTGCATCTGAATGTTAGAAAAATCATTTCTCAAAAGCAGGAACAGATTTGACTTCACTTTCTTCAGTGTCAATTGAAGGAAGCATCGCTCTTATTCTTTTGGGGTTATCAGCTCAATCGATGGGATATTTTCCTTGTCAAAAAATCGTAAACTTTGCCCACTTTTTTCAAATAACCCAATTTTTGCATCCCAATTTTAGAGAAGTAATTTCTCAAAAACGCAAACAGATCTGACTCCACTTTCTTCAGTATTGTTTAAAGGAAGCATTGCTCTTATTCTTTTGGAGTGTTGAGCGGAATCGATGGGATATTTTCTATATCAAGAAATCGTAAATTTTGGCCACTTTTTTGAAATAACCCAATTTTTGCATCCCAATTTTAAAGAAGTAATTTCTCAAAAACGCAAACAGATCTCACTTCACTTTCTTCAGTATTGTTTGAAGGAAGCATTGCTCTTATTCTTTTGGAGTGTTGAGCGGAATCGATGGGATATTTCCTATGTCAAGAAATCGTAAACTTTGGCCACTTTTTTGAAATAACCCAATTTTCGCATCCCAATTTTAGAGAAGTAATTTCTCAAAAACGCAAACAGATCTCACTCCACTTTCTTTAGTATTGTTTAAAGGAAGCATTGCTCTTATTCTTTTGGAATGTTGAGTTGAATCGATGGGATATTTTCTATGTCAATAAATCGTAAACTTTGGCCACTTTTTTGAAATAACCCAATTTTTGCATCTGAATGTTGAGAAAAATAATTTCTCAAAAGCAGGAACAGATTTAACTCCACTTTCTTCAGTGTCGATTGAAGGAAGCATCGCTCTTATTCTCTTCGACTTTTGAGCTAAATCGATAATATATTTTCCTGGTCAAAAAATCGTAAACTTTGCCCACTTTTTTAAAATATCCCAATTTTCGAAAGAAGTAATTTCTCAAAAACAGAAACAGATCGCATGCCACTTTCTTCACTGTCGTTTAAAGAGAGCATCACTCTCATTCTCTTGGACCTTTCAGCTAAATCGATAACATATTTTTCTTGGCAGAGAATTATAAACTTTCAACATTTTTTCGGAATTGCCCAATTTTCGCACCTCAATCTTCGAGGAGTCATTTCTCAAAAACAGAAACAGATTTCACTCCACGCTCTTTGGCAGCGGTTAAAGCAAGCTTCCAGTTCAATTCTTTGAAGTTGTCAACTGAATTAATGATGTAGTTCTTTTGTCAATAAAAGGTAAACTTTCGATATTTTTCCTTTCTTTTTCTGCACCTTAATCTTCCATAGGCCATTTTTCATTGATTGTACATACAGCTGGGTTTTTGAACAGGTTTTCTTTAATTTCCCTCCTCTTTGCTTTCCGTCATTTTGCCGTTTTCGAGCTTTCTCATTTTAGCTTATATTTGTCGCGTCGTCTGTCTCATCTCAGCAACGTTCTTCTGCAGCTTTCAGCATTTTTAAATGGCTTCAAAAGGTTCCAACATCGTATTGAGGTCATATTTCTATGTAACTGTTAGCAGAAATATTGCGAACAAATTTGGTTTATAAAATGATTTAGTTGGTAAAAACGTATTCCCAAAATTGTTCGTTACTAGTTAACATTCCAGTTTCAAATCAAGGAGGGGGAAAATTGGAACAATTTCACAACTGATTAACTGCTGTACTTACCAAAGGCCAAACGAGGAAGAACAGGTAGGAAATCTGGAACAAAATCGAAAAATTACAAACAAGGAAAGCCTCATTTTAACGTTTGGATGCGAAATGTACTGAAAGCATTATGGGAAGAAAGAAACTTCCAAGTTGAATGGTGCAGACCAATAAAATCCTAGATTTTTCCAGCCTAAATTACCGAAACGTGAAATGTAGATTCTCTAATTAAAAACAGAGTTTTTCGAAACAGATAATTCCACTTGCACTAAAAGGGGCGATATTGAAATGCGGCTCAAATATAATTTATTGCACCACCACGTTCGGAACTGGGAACGTTTTAATTAGACATTTAATTAAATCCGGATATTCAACTTTTAATCATAAAAATTCTGGCAACTAATATTTCAGCCTGCGGAGCCTTTAGCACGCACGATGATCGTATTAATGCAGCAGCAAATCGTTTCTATTTGTTTAAAAACGTCTCATATTCCTGTGCGATCAAATCTTTTCAAATGCGACGTGACTACTCGAGCCCCGAAAAAGTTCGACACTGATAAACGAGGTTTTATTCAAAAAAACCTCATTTGCTCCCCTACACAACATAAATTCCTTCGATTTTGAATGATCTGACGACAACTCTATTTGTCTTGTTGGCAGTTTTATAAAGGGCTCATTTTACTCACAGTGTATACTTTCCATTTGAAATAATCCAGTTTTCCGATTCACGATAGTGAGAATCGTTATGGAGGAAAACGGATGAGAAAAGTCGATCAAGTGAAGCAGAAACAGCAGAAGGAGGATGATGAGAGAAGGTGCGCTGAAGCAACAGCAAGAGCAAAAGCGAAACAGGAAAACATGCACTTGTGATACAAAGGCCAACAAATAAGAAACCTAATTGGTTGAGAACAAAAGCAACTTTTCTAGCTAGAAGAAAGGGGAGGAACATCAGCAGTAGCGATTTTCATTGGAAGATAGAAATTTGGTGAAAAAAAGATGAAATTTTAGAGAAGCAAATAAGGACTTTTCAAACTAACTCTTCTGCTTGGCTCGACAGAGTGTGAAACAAAAACGCAGAAATTTTGGGAAATCTCCATTAATCAACCTTCGAAGAACGCACTCATTTCGGCATTGAAAAATTTCCTGCGGCACATTCGGCCTTGTTTCCAGCCATTCTGGATCTTGGCGACAGTTAAAATGCATTTTGCGCTTGTTCCAGCATATAGAATACGCTGGAATGTACTTTAATATAAAGCGTGTTGAGTTCTTTAGAGCGTTCACTCTCTCTTTGTTGTGGACATTTTTGGCCAGCTTGGGGAGAATTTGCCCTGAAAACTGTGGCAATTTTGGTGGCTAAACCCACACACAGCAGCACTCTTTAAAAATATGCTTATTGGAAAATGGTAATCCGTTTTTTTGGAAATTGCTGGCAGCTATTCGGAATTGAGCATAGCAGCTGCGGTTTTTCGAATGCATTTATGCAATTCGCTGTCGGTTCTATTATGTTCCTCGCTGTTTTTTAGGGGCGAAAATGCGCTGAACAACTGTTGCCTTTCCATCTTTTCTCCTGCAAAAATCTGGGCGAAAGATGCTCGTTTTCAGAAGCTGAGAAGAAGAGTTTTCTGTTCAGTTAGATTAGTGAGTTCGATTAGGACCCATGTAGAATCTCCTTCAATTAATCAACTCATTGCCCCCAGTATAAAAAAATGCTCGATATTGAGCCCCGAAATTAACACGACTTCAATAAAACTAAACTCCTGCGCTTCCCGCAATATGGATGATTTAATTGAAAATGGCACTTCAAGCCCCGAGCAATTACGGACTAATAAAATGGAAAACTCGGACGCACCTCAGGCCAGCAATTTCCAGAACTGCATTTTTCTGATGGCAGGTGAATGCAATCAACCACTCATTTCGGTTTAAGCAGCGTTTCGATTTCGGGTGTAAAAATAAAGAGCGTAGAGAATCTGCAAAGCGCTCAATCGATAAAAGGCATTTTACATCCCAAGTATGATCAGTGTGAAAAGTCGCAAATTCAATGTGGGGAGAGGAAATGTGGGGCTGAAACTGTGCGAAGTTTCACTCCAATCAGCAGAACGATTCGTTTTTTACAAGCATCCAAACTTTAGTCTCCAGAAGGCGCGCAACTGGACTTTGCAGGTACACAGAGAAAAATTGATTGCGCCAATGCCAAAGTAAAGCGCCATCTGCAATTTTAAGGACCCAGAGTAGGAA